AAGGCAGGGAACAACCCAGGATGGGGTGCCAACCCATCGCAGGGCACAAGGCAGGGAACAACCCAGGATGGGGTGCCAACCCATCGCAGGGCACACTCAACCACCGATGGGCAATTTGGTAACACCAATTAACTTCAGCATGTTTTTGGACTGTGGGGGGTAACCAGAGTACCTGGAGGAAACCCTATCATGACACAGCGAGAACATGCAAACTCCACATGCAGAGCCATGGCAGAGATTCAAACCCAAGTCTCAGAGGTGTGAGGCGACAGTGCAAACCATCACGCTGCTATACTAGGCTTTTTATTTCGCTAATTTATATCCTGAATGTTCATTATGTCCACATGTCACTGTGAAAGGGGTAACAGAGACGTCATACAGCTGTTTCATTCTGGTCTCAAGTATGTCAGCGTGACCATATTAAAGAGCAAGACAAATAATCTGCTAGACATATGATCCTTCTGGAATGTTTCCTTATACCAATGCTTCAAAGGCACATCTTCCCTCCATCTTCTGTTTCTGTTTCACCTCCTTAAAGATCCTGCCTGACACAGAGGTCTGTCAAAGTCATTCCTGTCTGATTCGGACGGCGGAGCAATGCTGAAAAGCTGACATGTCTTTTCACACACGCACATTACAGGATGAGCATGAACAATGACAATGACGAGGAGGCAGCCCGAGAACGCAGACGCAAGGCTCGCCAGGAGCGGCTGCGCAACAAGGAAGACGAGGAGTCGTCCAGCATGGCGACGGAGAGCACAGAGCACAACGACACAACCAGGTACCTCGTTACACAAACCTGTCAGCTCACACCTGAGCTCAATTAAGGACATGAGCAAAAATGAAACACATGCGTTAGTTTGGTAGATGCCAACATGCTTTTGGATTCCATTTCAGAGTAGCTATGACATGATTACTCCATAATACATGCATGCAACTGGTTTCCTAAAATTGAGTATAAAATCTGCAAGAACAGTATCCAGGTAAATTGTGACTCTAAGCTGTCTCACTCGCTGCTATGCATTTCTGAAGGCTTCTGTGCGATCAGGTCCTGGAAGTCCGCAGGGACTGGTGACTAGTCTAGTGAACTTGTAACTAAAATGCTAACGTTTTACCCAAAACTATTTAAATTATGTGAAAATGTAAAAATAATTCTTCTAGGGAAAGAAAAAATATGTAGACACCAAATAGAACCAATGAATGATTCAAAGGCATAATTGTCTAGTTAGCTAATCTTCCAGGCATGCATGTTTGGAGCAGCAGACAGGAAGCTGTGGTCTATGCCGATACCTGTCGTGTCGGGATAGTTGTTATGTTCGTGCCTCTTTGGCCTATGGAAGGAGGTGGGGATTGTGCGTATCTCCATCTGACTGACAGACGTGGGTATTGGCCACACTGCTGAGTCAGCTTTCATTAACCTCCCGTGGTATTTTGATGGAAGTCGAATGTTAGCTGAGGCTTGGAGGCATTTCAGCTACGTGGCCAGTAAACCCCAAATTGAGTGGAAGATGCTGCACGACATAAGCATGGAAGAGCGCAGATCGATACACCTTGTGTCCTTTGGACAGGACGCCTTGTCTGCTGAATGCTTTGTTGGTTAGATCCATGAGTGAAAACCCTGTCAATCATAATATTTCACTGGAACTGTCAGCATAATGTATTACTGAGTTTGGCAACCTAAAACTGAACATAAGAACATAAGACATTTACAAACGAGAGGAGGCCATTCGGCCCATCAAGCTCGATTGGGGAGAACTTATCTAATAACTCAGAGTTGTTAAAATCTTATCTAGCTCTGATTTAAAGGAACCCAGGGTTTTAGCTTCCGCTACACTAGCATGAAGACTATTCCATACTCTAACTACATGCTGTGTAAAGAAGTGCTTCTTCAAATTTGTTTTTAAATGTTCTCCCGCACTGGAGATACTTTTAGAATTAATGTATCATGTTAAGGCTGATAGAAGGCGAATAGAGCAATAAAACATTTCATTTCAATGTAATGATCAGACATTATTGAGAAAGACTTGTGATTGTTGAAGATGTTTTGTTCAGTGTATTGTGACTGAGGTGGTCTGTTTGCTAATCTGTTTGTTAATTTGTTATTGCAGCACAAATGAGACAGAAACGACGACCAGCTCACAGAGATTGATCGCTGCCGCTTCCGAAGATGACCAAGCGCTCCTGGAGCGGATTGCCAAGCGGGAGGAGCGCAGGCAACGCAGGATGAAGGAGGCCCTTGAGAGACAGAAGGAGATTGACCCCACCATCACCAACAATGTAGAGAACAGTGAGGAAGAGAAGTCACATGGACGCAGTGAACACGAACAGGTGTTCGACATTAACAGCAAGCCGCCTGAGCCTGACAGCTGGAAGGAGAAAGAGGTGAAAAAGAAAGAAGAGGAGAGGGAAGAGGAGAAACAGGAAGTGACAGTGGCTGTCCTGGAGGAGAAAGAAACAGAGCCAGAGAAGGATGAGGAGAAGGAGGAGGTGACACAGAAGAGTGCAGGGTCTGTCCTGGGAGAGGAGAAATCAGAGGCACCTGAAAAGGAGACACAGGTTGGCTCATTACTGCCCATCACAGTAGTAAAATATGTTTTCTTGGGGTTCTTGTTTTTCACTTCTTCTAGGGAGTCCATAGCAAAACCTAAAAGGCGTTATATTAAGGATAAGGTGTAACACATGTTTAGCACCCAGTTTTTAAACTGATGCTACAGTTTTGGGGTATTCTGTTACATTTGGCAGAAGATGTAACCTCACTTTATTTTATAGGAGCAGGTTGAAGAACATCTTATCAATTCAAATGTAACTGTAGAAATACCCATGGTGCCCAGCACTGACCTGGAAGAAAGGCCATCAACAGAAAAAGAAGACAAAATAATAATTTCAGAGACAGCTATCGAAGAGAAGACTGCTTCTTCAAAAGCTCAGTTTGATGAAGAACCTGTGATATCAACAAAAGAACTGAAAGAAGTAACAGAAGATGAAAAACCAGTAGTGCCAATGGAGGCCAAAGAAAAAGACATACCCTTAAAGAAAGAAGAAGAAGAGGTGGAGGAGAAGCCAGTGATATCAAAGAAAGATGAGAAACCAGTGATATCAATGAAAAAAGAGGAAGAGAAGCCAGTGATATCAAAGAAAGAAGAGCAAGGGAAGCCAGTGATATCAATAAAAAAAGTAGAAGAGAAACCAGTGGTATCAAAGAAAGAAGAGGAAAAGAAACCTGTGACCTCAAAGAAAGAAGAAAATAAACCAGTGATATCAAAGAAAGAAGAAGAAAAGAAACCAGTGATATCAAAGAGAGAAGAAGAAAAGAAACCAGTGATATCAAAGAGAGAAGAAGAAAAGAAACCTGAGATATCAAAGAAAGAAGAAAAGAAACCAGTGATATCAAAGAAAGAAGAAGAAAAGAAACCTGTCATGTCAAAGAAAGAAGACGAAAAGAAACCTGTGATATCAAAGAAAGGGTTTGAAGAAAAACCTGCCACATTAAAGAAAGACGCTGAGAAAAAGACTGAGGGAAAACTGGGAATACCAAAGAAAAAAGTTGAGGACAACCCCGTTACACCAAAAAAAGAGGAGGTATCAGATGAAGATCCTTTTCACCCAAAGAACACCTCTGAATAACTCAAACACTGAGCATGGAGTTTTGAGTTGTCTTTGTTTAGGTTTGTGGATCACTCACAGTATGGTCACCTGCGTGTAACTGTCTGTGTCACACTAAGCACAGGGCTGTAAGGTGCGGTCACAGTGTGATTCCAGATGTGTCGCTTCTTTCGTGAGTGCTGAAGCACTGCTGCTTTACGCAGTCACAGTGTGGTCTTGGTGTGTGGGGTCACAGTGTGTGGGGTCACAGTGCTCGGTCCAAGTTGTGTTTCACATGTTGTGTTTCATGCTTGCACAAAGTAGGGCTTCTTTGGACACAGATCTGTACACCCTGCCGCCATTACATCACCAATGGTTAACTTCCTCCTTCTCCTCTAGGTCGCAGAGGAGAAACTGAAACGGCCTTTTGTCAAGGAACCAGTAAGAGCAATGTTTAATGGATAATATTTTATATTCCTTAACCCTCAGCAGTCTGAGGCCTCTCAGCCACCTTCAGGGTAGTCTGACATGCCTTGACATTTTAATATAGCTTATTATAGCGTCTGTTACTGCTCAAGTGTATTTCAGCTCTATAGAGAAATAATGCTCTTCCTGTGTCAGAAGACAAACAAAAGCAATCATTTAAAGTTGAATAGGAGGTAACCGATGATGATGCAGTTGAATTAATTTCCAAAGGGAAGTCATTGAGCTCAGGCCTTAGACTAAATGGCTCTTTGTGTATTAAGGTGACAGAAAAGAAGACAAACAAGGAGCCAGAGTCCCTTCAGCGAAAGAAGGACTTCCCCCCCCAAGCCAAGCAGCAGAATGGCGCCTCGCGGCAGGAGGCACCGGCCGCATGCAAGCTCAAGAAGCCCGAATGGCTCCAGAGGTGACGCCGCACACCCAGCACATCAGGCTTGTTGATATTACATCATAGGTTTTGTTTTTCGTATTTTAATTTACATGATAAAACATTGCTTATTTTTTTGTTATAGCTTATTTGTCACTGGGATAGTGATATTCTCCGACAAGGGTGTATACAGGGGTGGGGTCAAAGGGGCGGGGTCACAGGGGCAGAAGCTGAAACCTGATTAGCTCCCATAGTGCCTCCTGGCCCCTCTTATGGCTCCACCAATACCCCTGCAAATCTAAGAATCGGAATCGCCCCTGTTCTCCTAGTTCAGTGCTGATTAGTGCTTAAGGTGTCCCTGTCAAATCATTCTGTAAGTGGGTCAGTCATCTGGAGTGTAAGGGGGTGTAACAGTAGACAGAACAGTGACACCAGAGAGGCCCGGGATGAGATCTGCTCATGCTCACGGTGTCTCCTTATGCTCACGGTGTCTCCTTATGCTCGCGGTGTCTCCTCATGCTCGCGGTGTCTCCTTATGCTCGCGGTGTCTCCTTATGCTCGCGGTGTCTCCTNATGCTCGCGGTGTCTCCTTATGCTCGCGGTGTCTCCTTATGCTCGCGGTGTCTCCTCATGCTCGCGGTGTCTCCTTATGCTTGCTGTGTCTCCTCATGCTCGCTGTGTGTCCTCATGCTCACGGTATCTCCTCATGCTCGCTGTGTGTCCTCATGCTCGCTGTGTCTCCTCATGCTCGCTGTGTGTCCTCATGCTCGCGGTGTCTCCTCCTGCTCGCTGTGTGTCCTCATGCTCACGGTGTCTCCTCATGCTCGCTGTGTCTCCTCATGCTCGCTGTGTCTCCTCATGCTCGCGGTGTCTCCTCATGCTCGCTGTGTCTCCTCATGCTCGCGGTGTCTCCTCATGCTCGCTGTGTCTCCTCATGCTCGCGGTGTCTCCTCATGCTCGCTGTGTGTGCTCATGCCGGGTGACTTGCAGCCGCAAGGCCGAACCAGCCGAAAAGGGCAGTGTGTCTCAGAAGGCGGAGGATCTGAAGCGGCGTCGCGACGAGGCCGAGAGTAGCGAGTTTGAGAAGATGCGGCAGAAGCAGCAGGAGGCCGAGGCCGAGCTGGAAAACCTGAGGCGCAAGAGGGAGGAGAGAAAGAAGGTGCTGGAAGAGGAGGAGAAGCTGAAGAAGCAGGAGCAGGAGGAGAAGAAGGCCAAGGAGGAGGTAGGGCGGGGTGGACAGCGCCATCAGACGAGGGCCATGACGCCCTTTACGGCATTGCTACGCAAATACAGGAGGGCGTTTCCTTTGAAAGGACTGTCAGTCTGCAGCTCTGCTGAGGTGCCAAAGTGATTAAACCCATATTAGTTTTTAGAATGAGCATTAGAATCAGAATCAACTTTATGCACCATGTACAGCTAGATGAATTTGTTTTGATGTAATTGTTTACATGCAAGTAAAATAAAGTAGAATAGAATATTAAAGTATTACTATAGGTAAATAATATAGTCTGTAATACATAATAGTCTAATTAGTATTTGCAGTCATTCTGTCAGTGTGTTTCCTGTCTCTGACCCTCTATTGACTTATGAGAGCTACTGAAAATGGATGGATAACAGACAAGAAATATTTTTATTGTTAAGCCTGTCATGATGTCCTCAGTGGCCTCTTTATTATGTAGGTACACATAGCTGGTTTGGGTTTGACCCCCTTTGTCTCCAGAGCTGTTTGAAGGCTGGACTAGTTATGCATTCAGAGAGGCCTTTCTGCACACTGCTGTAGCACTGCGCTGTTATTGTGTCACTTGTGACCTTCCTGTTAGCTTTAATGAGATTGGCTGGATGTTTCTCTTTATCGCAGCAGTCTCTGCCACTGTAGTACCTGAAAATCCCAGGAGGGCGGCAGTGTCTGACATGCTGGGAGCACCGTGGCAGTCACCAGCAATCACAGCATATTTAAAATCCCTTAGACCAGCATAAATTAGTTTCTCTAATGCTCAGCTCCATAGTAACTAACCTTCTGCCCTCTGTGTTCTAAATATTCAGCTGTAGCCACATCATTCATTGTTAATAGAAGCTGACTCTTTGCAACGGCAAGAGGGTATATCTAACAATATGACCATAGAGTATATATGGTTCAGATATTCTTTTATAATAAATATGCATGTGTGTATGTAAGTAATACTGCTTCAAAACATTTTACAAATGTCGGTCCATCCATCCATCCATCCATCCGTCCATCTACCCATAAATTTTCATGCATACCCAAATGAAATGGGATGTACCAATAGACTGTAATTAAGCAGAAAGTTCACAGACTCACAAGCATTAAAGTTTGTAAAATTAGTGCTGGTGGTTCTGCATGATTGTGAGGTTGGCCTTAGGACAGGAAGCAGACTATCAGAAAAGTGTCCAGCGAAATTGCGATTCCCGCCACACAGGAGGAGAAGAGGAGGATGAAGGAAGAAATTGAGAAGCGGCGCGCAGAGGCGGCGGAGAAGCGGCAGAAGGTGGAAGGATCCACTGAAGGAGGCAGCAAGAAGCCCTTCACATGTGTGAGCCCTAAGGGATCCTCTCTCAAGGTCAGCCCCCACATAGGACCCGCTTGAAAGACCCCCAAAACCAGCATTCAGCAGCAGGCGTTGTCCTCTAAGCAGCATAGCCTCGGGGCTGCGTTGGACAGAGCAGGTCTGGATTGTAGTGTGAACCAGACAGTCAGACACGAAACATGTTCTCCATTGTCAGCGAGTGGGAATCTGAAGCAGGCAGGCTTACATTACGGCAGCGCTGGTGCTTATTGGATACAGCGTGTTGATCTGGTTCTTATGAGTCTGAAACTTTCTGATTTGTTTGTGCTAAGGGGAAGCAGCATGATACCACCTTTGTTTCCCAAATCCTTCACAAATGTGAATATCCTTGGTCCTTTCCACAGATTTACTTTGTCATCATGTTCACTGTATGTACAGATCTTAGATGGTGTGCAGTGTGACTTATTGAAGCACGGATCTGTTTACAAGGCTGAAATGTTTACTGCAGTGGTGTGTTTTTCCTTCAGATTACTGCATGCTGTTTATTTCTGTCCGTAGCGGGTGAGTGAAAGTTAGATGTATGCAGAAGCTGAGGCTAGATTGCATGTGGGTTGAAGATTTGCAGTTGTGTAGCATTATTTGTTTTCGTTCGACAGGGACAGGGTCACAAAATGATGTCACCCAATTTTACTACAGACATGGTATTCAAGCACTTAGCCTATGTAGTTTTTTTCTCTAAATCAAAACATTTTGCTATGGACACAGATGAGTCTTTTGATGGACACATTTGTCCATGAACAGACAGGGTGACAATCCCTGCCCAGAGCCAATGACTGTCCTGAAAATGTTGCCCTTGGGACCAAGCAGAGATGAGATTTCCCGTTCTCGTGCCTTAAGTACGAGTTCCGTTAGTGATCTGGCACTGAGCTCTATCACAAGAAGTGAATTAACCAAAAGTGAATGTAAACAGAATTGATTAAGGAGCCTGCTGAGATAAAGTCAATCATTTTAGCAGAATAAAACTGGTCAAATATGGCCTTTTGAAATGTATCCTCCCATGAGAAGAACTTTTCGCCTGGTATCCAAGGAGAATATCTACTCACATCTGTGTGCAGAAGGGTAGACGAGGAATGTGGACGGCCAGCACTAAATAGTGACACAGGAGGGAGATAAATCAGGAGCCCAGGGATGTTTCTGTGTGTGTGTATGTGTGTGTGTGTGTGTGTGTGTGCACGTGTGCCTGTGTCTGTGATTTGTTTAAAGGTAACACCTACCAGTTAAATAATTCTCACCATGAAATTATGTTTTTTTTTTCACAGATTGGTGAAAGGGCAGAGTTTCTAAATAAGTCAGCGCAGAAGAGGTATGCTTGTTGTTAATGACTCAGCCATCACTGCCGTTCTTGGGACATTTTCACAAATTAGCAACATGTGAGGTGCTTGAGCTGAGATTTGAATGCATTGTGTTTTCTGGTGGTTACCATAGTGCTGTGAAGGTGTCTCACACACCCATTGTGACCAAGATTGGCAACAAACTGGAGCAGTACAACACAGCCATTCAGGTGAGGCTCGTGTTACAGAGCAGCCATGTTTGGAGGGAAAGGGCTTGTTCACTCTTCTTCCTTCTGCTTCCTTCTGCTTCATGTCTGAGTTTGGCCTCTCTCTATAGCCAGTGTGTGCACTCCCTCTGAGGTACCTTTGAAATCTGCTGTAGACATAACCTGGCACCCCCCTCCCCACAGGAAGTATGTGTCACACCTGTTGAGTTTGCAGTCACATGACCTCATTCTCTGTGTAGACTAACAAGGATGTCAAGTCTCCTAAGTCTCCAGCTGCGGACTTGCCTGTGGCCCCAGATGGGATCCGCAACATTAAGAGCATGTGGGAGCGGGGAAACGTGTCTGGCACACCAGAGGGGCCCGGGGCCCCCAACAAGGTATGGTCTGCCCCACTTCCTGCTCATCTCCACTTCCTGCCCCATCCCCACTTCAAACTGCACCCCCACTTCCTGCCCAACCCCCACTTCCCATCCCCTCCCCACTTCCTTTCCCAACCTCACTTCCTGTCCCCGTCTGACTTCCCATCCCATTCCCCACTTCCTGCCCTGTCCCCAGTTCAAACTGCACCCCCACTTCCTGCCCAACCCCCACTTCCCATCCCCTCCCCACTTCCTTTCCCAACCTCACTTCCTGTCCCCATTCCCACTTCCTTTCACTTCCTTCCTTTCCCATCCTGTGCCACCCTCACTTCCTTTCCCATTCTTACTTCCTGTCCCACTCCCACTTCCCGCTCCTCCCCACTTCCTTTCCCAACCTCACTTCCTGTCCCCGCCTGATTACTCGTCCCATTCCCCACTTCCTGCCCCATCCCCACTTCCTTTCACTTCCTTCCTTTCCCATCCTGTGCCACTCTCACTTCCTGTCCCCGCCTGACTTCCTGTCCCACCCCCATGCCCACCTCGTCCCCATCCCTCTCTGCAAGCTGGACCTCAGCTGCCCCGTTTCCCCTTTTCAAATCAGGAAACAGCTGCCATGAAGATAGGCGTCACTGGCCGCATCAACGACTGGCGGTGTAAGACTCCAGAGCCCGGAAAAGCAGCTGGGGGGGCGTCTGCGGTGAGTCTGCACCACCTCACCCCCTGGCGGATAAGGAGGAGCTCACTCACCATTTTCCAGCTATCACTCACACTTGCAATTTCAAGTCCCGGGAAGTAAGGGCTCAGACTGAAGAAGCACAGCACTGCTGCCATTGAAATTGCAATTTTGAGGATCCAGGGTGGATCCTTTGAGTTTACTTGATGCCTCTACTGTGCAATATCCAATTTAAAAAACTGGTAAAGTCATAGATGACTTTGGTTAAAAGTGCTGGATGAGTTACCAAAAACAATGCTGTGACAGTAACTGCAAGTCTGATGAAGTCTGTTTACTGGAAAGAGGAGCATGAAATGTGCTCAAACGGTTCCACCCTGTGTTCATGTGTGGGTGCATGGCGGCCTCTAGTGGACTCATGTTTGCTAGGTCTTTAACTTCAGGACAATGAATGAAGCTGGTGAGATGTATCTGAAATTCATTTACAGTTAAATAGCTTAATGGAAGTTATGTACTAATGTACACTACAGGCCATAGGTTTGGGGCCACCCTTGGCTTTTAAAAAAAATACATGACACACTGCTTTGTCAAACTTTTATTACAGGAAAATATTAGAAATACGTGAAACAAATGTAACTGACTGGGTTTGAAGTGTAACATAACATTTTACTGTGTGTGTAAGTTTTCAATTCAATTCAATTCAATTTTATTTATATAGCGCATTATCACAACATTACATTGTCT